TTCTGACTTCGGGCAATCCTAACTGCGTCCGACTTGTTCAGTTTTGCAAAACTCCGAGCGAACAACTGTCTGTGAAAATTCCAAATACGCTTTTAAACAGTTTTAGAGTTGGGCGTTTCTCCTGCCAATGTGAGACACGTTTGTGGCTGCGTATATGTGCTAACATGAAATATTAACCGAAATTCTCAAATGCGTCTTCGTTTCGAAAAGATAAATTAAGTAGGGTTGTAAAACTAATCATCATGCAACATAATTCTACAACGATTCAGTTATCTCAGGATACCGGCTTTCGGACGAACTTCTTTCCGGCTGCACGCAAAAACCATACTTCGCAAAAAAATGACTACTTAATCAGCATGAATTTTTCTCATAGATTTTCGATGCGCTTAAAAATTCAATTATATTTCACAAAACATGCATAAAAATATTCCTCCTCTTACTCATACGGTAAAAAATTACGTCGTCTTCCAATTTTATACATGAAAGAAGGTTATAAGTCGGTTTTAAAAAGTTTTTACTCGTGAGTTTTTTTAATACCGTGAAATGGCCATTCATAAAACGTCATGTCTTTGCATTTACCAACGTGGCTTGTAAAGTTAACAACAGGGCTCAAATACACTACTAAATTTTATGAACCCCATATAGTCTCCTCTTAATGCCGTAGAAAAAGGTATGGTTTTCCGTACGCGGAAAATTTACGACTTGTATTTTGGAAGCCCTGAATGCAAGTCTAACGGCAGGTCGGGTTCAAGTCCATTGGGGAATTGAAAAACCTTTTTAAAAACCGAATTATTTTCCTTTTTTGAGTATAAAATTGGAAGAAGACTTAATTTTCTACTGAATCGGCGAAAGAATGGATATTTTTATCCATGTTTTCCATGAAATATAATTGAATTTTTAAGGGCATTGAAAATCAACGAGAAAATTGCATGCTACTTAAGTAGTCATTTTTTCAGAGTGTAGTTCTTGCATGCAGTCGGAAATGAGTTCATTCAAAAGCCTCCCCCTGAGGTAACTGGATCATTGTAGACTTATGCTGCATGATGATCAGTTTTACAACCATACTTAATTTATCTTTTCGAAACGAGAAGGCATTTCGAAAATTCTGAAATGCGTCTTCGACTCGAAAAGATTACTTGAATAGGGTTGTGAAACTAATCACAGAGCGGCATCATCCGATGACAATTCAGTTACTTCAGGATACCGGCTGCCTGTAAAGACTACATTCTGTAGAAAATGACTACTTAGGTAACGTGAATTTGTGTCATTGATTTTTGATGCCCTTATAAATTCGAGTATATTTCATAGAAAACATGCATAAAAAATTCATTCCTTTTCTAAGTTGGTAGAAAATTCCGTCAGAATATAAATTTACAAATAACGCGATAGTAATTTGTTTTGCATAAGACCGAGTATCTATTACGGGGACAATTCAAGCCTCAGTTTCTCTTTTGTGCGTTCTTTACACGTAAGGTATTGTGCCATGGGAGACACGTCGAAAGGCACAGCGCACGAGGCGGAAGGACTTCGTAGTAATTAGTTTAGAATGGAGGAGATAGAAAACATCATCCAGAATACGATATGAAAATTGCTTGGCCGTTGTGTTATAACATTGACTAAAAGAACATAAGAAACATCATCATCATCATCATCATCATCATCATCATCATCATCATCATCATCATCATCATCATCATCATCATCATCATCATCATCATCATCATCATCATCATCATCATCATCATCATCATCATCATCATCATCACCACCACCACCACCACCACCACCAGCAGCAGCAGCAGCAGCAGCAGCAGCAGCAGCAGCAGCAGCAGCAGCAGCAGCAGCAGCAGCAGCAGCAGCAGCAGCAGCAGCAGCAGCAGCAGCAGCAGCAGCAGCCGCAGCAGCAGCAGCAGCAGCCGCAGCAGCAGCAACAGCAGCAGCAGCAGCAGCAGCAGCAGCAGCAGCAGCAGCAGCAGCCGCAGCAGCAGCAGCAGCAGCCGCAGCAGCAGCAGCAGCAGCAGCAGCCGCAGCAACAGCAGCAGCAACAGCAACAGAAAGCATTCGAAGGACTCGTTTTAAACTTAGCTCATCTTTTTTTAAGTGGAGCAGGAAAGATAAACGGACAAAAATGAAGAATGAGAGAGAGAGAGAGAGAGAACGCAGGCGTTTGATAGGAACGTAAGCGACGAATGTAATAAATGAGTCTGCAAATTTTAGTTGAGGGGATTTCAATATGAAGGAAGAATGACTGATTTGGGGACAGAGTAACACCGAGGTACCGAAAAGAGGGTTGCTCGTTGGGGGCTTGAAGAAGGTTTTCAAGCAGTGTTTTAGGATACCCATCAGCTGTCTTTGTTTCGCTCTGGTGTCCTTTCAAGTAGATCTGTACAGTTTCAGCTGCCGGATCTTGCGGGATGGGGGTGGCAAGTGACGTCACATCGAAAAACATGGCCACCTGGCCACTTGCGAGGTGAACGCCAGACCGTTTTTGTAACCTCCGTCACCGATTTGACCGATGTTAGGAAATTCGGACGTTTAAACGACCACATGGACAAACAGCCTGTTGGGGTCAAATGAAGGTTAGAATGCCACAAAGTAATGCGATAGCGGCATCTCTTGGGTTTAATTTTTTTGCACTGCGGATGCTGTTTGCTATCGTCTTCATTGGGCACATGGAGTTTGGTTGACCGGAGGTGTCTTGACTTTGAGGTGTCTTGCCTTCTCCAGCACAGCCGTAGACCTTCCTTTGCCGACTGGTCGTAGGCTGAGGCATTTACCGACCTTCAGCGTGCAGAGTATCCGGTTTTTTTGAGGGCCTCTTCTCCGATTATTGTTACACGAACTTGACTGGTTTGGGGGCAACATTTGTTTTGACATATGCATACCTATTTTGCTCTCGACTGTTTTCTAGGACAGAATGCAACCAACCAACTTTGGCCAGGCGTCTCTACACTCAACTTGGCCAACATCTATGCTAATTTGGCGTCACTCGCGCCGCGAACTTGCCTTGCATTGTAAATCATCATTCAGTGCAGGTTGCTCATCAAAGTTGACTTGTTCCTTTTCTTCTGCGATCGTTACTTTATATTTCTGCAGACGTGCAGTAGGTGGGCTAACTCATGAAATGTCGACCGAAATTTCGAACTGCGTTCTCGTTTCGAAAATATTAATTAAGTAGTGTTGTAAAACTGATCATCATGTAGCATAAGTCTACAATGATCCAGTTACCCCAGGGGCTGGCTTTTGAATGAACATATTTTCGACTGCATGCAAGAACTACACTCTGCAAAAAATGACTACTTAAATAGCATGCAATTTCCTCGTTGTTTTTCGATGCCCTTAAAAATTTAATTATATTTCATGGAAAACATGCATAAAAATATTCATTCTTCTACTTATTCGGCAGAAAATCACATCTTCTTCCAATTTGATACTCGAAGAGGAGTATAATTCGGTTTCAAAAAACTTTTCATATTCTCGAATAATTCTGAACGCGATCTGCTGTTATACTTGCATTTAGGGTTTCAAAACTACAAGCCCTATATTTTCCGTGTACGGAAAACCACACATTTCTCTACGATATTAAGACGAAACCAAATGGGGTCCACAGAATTTAGCAGTGGATTTGTCCCATATTGTTCACTTTACAAGTCACATTGGTAAATGCAGAGACATGACGATTTATGAACGGCCATTATACGGTATTTAAAAGTCCCACAGTTAGAAACTTTTTAAAACCGAATTATGTCCTTCTTTCGAGTAGGAGATTAAAAGAAGACGTTCTTTGCTACCGAGTAAACCAAAGAATTGGTCTTTTTAGGCATCTTTTTCATTAAATATAGTTGAACTTTTAAGGGCATCGAAAATCAACGAGAAAATTTCATGGTACTTAAGTTGTCATTTTTTCAGCGTATAGATCTAGCATACAGTCGGAAATAAGTTCGTTCGAACGAAAGCACTCCGAGGTAAATGGATCATTATAGAATTATGCTGGACCATGATTATATTTATAACCATAATTAATTAATCTTTTCTAAACGAGAACGCATTTCGAAATTTCGGCCGACATTTCATGGGTTAGCCCACCTACTGTAGGTGGAAATCTTCGACCGTACCGGGCCGACCTGACACCCAGCTCGGCGTTAATTGGCGACTCGTAGGGGATGAATTTTGACAGAGTAGTCGGGTTTAAGCTCCAGTATTGGAATCGGAGTTAATCTTGCGTTGAGGGCTGTCGGCAGGAGGAGGATTTTCAAAAACGGGCTGATGCTATCGCTACGCTGCGTCCTTGTTCCGTAGTCGCTCAGCGACTAGTAGTAAATGGTATTACCGACAAAGACAAGGGAGACCGGAATGGCCATTTCTGACTTGTTAGCCGTTATCAGCCAGTCATGCCGAACCCCAAGTGTGGATCACCTGAGATTCGAAGCTGGGATCTTTGGTCATGGAGTTTGACACTCTGCCACTGAGCCACGGGCCCGTTATCCTGTCGGTTGTGGTCGGGAATATCAATTATGACAGATGGGCGCTCACCGATCAGGTTACGGAACGTGCTTGTTCCTTTGTGCCTTGGGGCACAAAGGCAGTCGCACAGCAACCAGTAGTAGTAGAAGTACCGACTTGGTACCGAGAAAGACAAGGGAGACCGAATTAGCCATTTCTGGCTTATTAGCCGTCGTCAGCCAACCAGACGTAGCCGCGAGGTGTGCCGCAACACTTTGGGCTCGGTCCTGCAATCTGTTGGTTAGAAGTCCAACGCCCTAACCACAGAGCCAGGGGCTCGTTGTCCTGTCGGTTGCGATCGGATACATACAGGGGTGGAGGGGCGCTCACCGATCGCGTTCTGGAACTCACGCGTTCCGTTGTACCTTGGGGCTTTCTCTCGAGCCCCACCAGCAGCCACATATCGGCATTGGACCTGCCCTCTGATATCCTAGCTTGGCCGACTTTGGTTCTGCAGGTAGTAAAGCGCTTTACAATTTAGCTCATTTTCCTCTCAGTTTTTGTCCCGATTGTTCGTGCGTATATCACACAACTAATCAGTTGGAATAACAACCTTCCTGCACTGTTATGCCAAACACTAGCTGTTTCCAGTGGTAATGGAAATTTGCCTTGTTGTCATCCCACTCACGCTCGTACTTCTGTCCGGCGCTTAGAGACCAGAGGACTTTGGTCAAATGAAGGGTAGAACTGAATTACTGAAGGTCGTAGTATCCGGGAGGGTCGTTGTCAGTCATCAACACTCGCTTGCCAGTCGAGTGTTATCGAAATTTCCATGTCTAGTAGACTTTGGTTAAATTTATCCTTCTGTTTTAAGTGAAAAACCTGGTTTGTGCCTCCTTTACGACTGTCCAGTGCCCTATCGTTGGGCAAAACGTTTCTATGCATTTTATTAATACAAGGTCCACCCGGTCTCTTCAATAACTAGACTAATTGGGTTGGTTGGTGTAAGAAAGCGAAGGTGACTCAACAACAAAGTGAGTGTTCGCGCTTAAAGCTTGCTTTGGTCTTGGGAGATACACCGATGGTGTCGTAGCAAAAGTGAATGAGAGCTGTTTTTTCCTCCTCCTCCTCCT